TTGCCAAAACTAATTCGGGAGTTAAATAAACCAAAATATGTATTTCTCAGCATTTCTAGATTGAAAATATATTGTAGGCTTCTTATAAACAAGATACTAAACAGTTTTGTTTAAATTTTCTGTATGCATATACCATATTAAGGGACTCATCGATTGTAATACATAGTTGCTGTTACCTGAAATTATTAATTTTTTTGAGTCTTCTGATCTTTTAATTGCATGAAGTTGGCGGTAAACCAATTTTTCTCATAATGAATGGATTCATCAGCCATTTTCAAAAGAGTAGGTGAATTTGAAGAGGTGTTGATAAAAGAAGTATCGTCAGCAAATAAAATAGTGGAAGTAATAATAGTAGTATGCTGACAGATATCATTTATGTATATGAGAACAATAACAGTCCAAGTACCGAGCTTTGGGGAATTCCATATTTGGTGGTTCAAAGATCAGAAATATATGTACCTAATTTTACTGTTTGCTGTTTGTTAGTTAGATAGAATGATAATAGTTTGTGAGGTATACTTCTAATGCCGTCAAACTCTTAACTTAACCAACAAAAGGTCATGTGAGACACAGTCGAATGCCTTGGACACATCGTACTTGGTGATAATTGCATGTTGCTTGCTGTCAAGACCCTCGACAATGTCTCCAATGATTTTCAGTAAAGATCTAAATGTTGATTTATTCTTCCGAAAACCATATTGGGTGTTTGATATTAAACCCAACAACCAACCTCATACTCATGAAAAATAATCATGGCTTTCTCCTCTTTCAGAGCGTTCTGGATGAACAGGGTGTGTGTTTCCTATCCACCTCTTGGTCATTTCTTAGAAGTACTTGGAATATCTTGAGAGTGAAATTCGGTTCAATGCAGAAGTTTCACAAAATTGGTTACAAGACTTGTTTTACTATAACAAACATCCTCATGCAACAGTATTCGTTAAAATTATGGTTACTCAAATCATTTACAGTTCAGAAATAACTGATGTAACCTCATGTAAGAATCAATATTATCGGATCATTTGAGCGTGAGCAATGGACAGGTCGGAAGGATTTACTCTATAGGGTTCTTGAACTTAAGTTAATTTCAATTTGGTTTGAAAAAGGAATGAATAGATTCAATAAATTAGGCGTTTTTCTCTGCTTGATCCACTGGACTAACAATTCCTAGGTTTTTGTGGAAGATGAGTTTTGAGTCATAAATTTTAATGAATTTTCGTTAGAAAGTAGAAATTATTTTTAATTTGTAATTTATTTTTTCAGATATTTGAGGTTACGAAATTGGGTATTACAATAATCTCACTATAATTAATGTTTCAGAAATTTTGAATACGACATTTCTGATATTGTTTATCAGGATGTTGAGAATTCAACTGGCAACATTGGGTTATAGAATTCTTGTCACCTTTTCACGTTCCTTTATTTGATTGAGAAGACACCGTTCTTGAAGATAATCAGGAATCATTCGGTTTATTTATCATTATTATTCACAATGGTGTATAACATTTTAATTCCAAGGAAGATATTAAATAGTCGGCTTTGTTGTAAATGTCAACGTTACTAAAATCGCGTAAATCACAAATCCCACTCAAATGACTATATGGTTTTGGTATCTACATGACGTATTCGGGCTGTTTTGGTTCTGACCCTGAAATATTTATATATTGTATAATTTGTAGTCACAGATATCTGGATATCATAAAGTTGTGTAGCCAATTATGGTTGCCAAAAACTTGGATTGACTTTTTCTGCAATATATGAGTAGGTTCGATAATTTATTGATAAATGGATATCTAATTTACAATGTAGAATATACTGAAATCGACAAATATTATATTATCTACACTTTTTGATTTCACATTCAATTGAAGGAAACGTAATGTTGAACATCCAGATGAAAACTAACTCAGCAATAATTGTGTCATAGTATACCCGTTAAAAAATATTTATGATACTCTATCTCTACAGAAAAAAAAATGGAACAAAATATTTTCTCATCAGTAAGTGGGCTATGCTTGAAGACTGGCAGTAAACAAATGTAAAGAAATGAACTTTAAATGTTAAAGCCAGTCTCGGATATACGTACCCAGTAGGTTAAATGGACTGACGCCTATCAGAAAGCAACTACTCCACTGGCTAATACCACGAATGGCGATGGATTGCATCCGACAGGCGTTAGTGCAGGAATCTTCACAGAAAATTTCCTGCATATGCAATGGGCAATACAACTGAAAGAGTCGACCTTCAATTTTGGAACGATCAATCACATTCCATTATTGAAAATCGAAATTCTTTCTGAGTATTTCATTCCTCGTCTTAAATTGGAGCGAACAACAAAAATATCACTCCATCTAGTGGACGAGGTACTAACCAACTGCAAATTTGAAATTTGCCCGATTCCTCTGAATGAGGAAGAAAAACTTTCTTATTAGTCAGTGGGCTATGCCCACGAGGAATGAAATACTCTGAAAGAATTTCGATTTTCAATTATGGAATATCATTGACTTTAGGTCGATGGTGGTCACTATCTTGCACTGACGAGAGGCTAAGGAGCTCGAAACCGGTTTGCAAGTGTGCCCGTTCCAAAATTGAACGTCGACTCTTTCAGTTATATTGCAAATTGCATATGCAGAAAATTTTCTGTGAAGATTCCTGCACTGACGCCTGTCGGATATAATCCAACGCCGATCGTGGTATTAGCCAGTGGAGTAGTTGTTTTCTGATATCCGAAACTGGCTTGAACATTTAAAGTTCATTTCTTTAGATTTGAACAAAAAATTGTTTCAAATTTTTTGAACCAACAACCTTTTTTCTTAAAATTGGACACTCTTAGGAAAAAAATCATCAAAGCGAATTTTATGATGAACAAAAAGATAAAATCTTATTTCTCGGAGCATGGCTATTGATAGTTACGAATAAGTTGTTATATATAAGTATACAGTAAAGTTGAGAAAATATTATTGAATAATAGTATACAATATATTTAATCATTTACCATGGAAGATATATTTCGACCTGGAAGATCATTTCGAGTTCAAAGAGAATTTTTACAGAAATAATAACAATAATAATAAATAAACTATCGCTGAGATATAACGACAACCAACAAAAATTGAAAAATAATTTTTGGTCGCTTCATTCACACTTTTGATTTCATAATGCCTTCAATTATTGACGAGATCTTTTCTGAAGCTATAATGAGGAATGAAAAAATCCAAGGATTTCAATTTAAAAATTGTAGACTTTTTGCCAGTGTATTCTATTGTGCACTAATGTGTCTAAAAAATACCCAGCTGTTTTTTCCTTGAATATTCATTTTGCATTTGTTAAGATAAATTTTTGTTGAAGTTTCTGATTCGAAACCGCTCGGGTTCGCCTTTTCCCGTTTTAAGCCCAATTTTCACTTCGAAATTAAAATTTCAAATATTATTGGTATAGTGAATGTCCTATTCTTCAAATATCTCCTTTCATTTCCTTAGCTTTTTTGAAATATTTGCAAGAAACCAAATCAAGTTTTTCTTAATTATTTATAACTTTTGCAGTTTTATCTATCTTTCTTCAAAAGTTTCATGAAGTGTTTAGATGTCAAAATAAAAAAGGAACGGTCTCGCTAGAACTAAAAACACAAAATGATAATTGAGAAAAAAAATTGGTTGCTTTATTAAAATCTTCAATTTTATAATACCTTCTAATATTAAAATAAAAGGATTTCATTTTCAAGTTTTTCCAACGAGAATTTTTTAAAACTTACTTCAAACAATAGCTCTGAGAAGTGAAAAAGTTCTAGATTTTTAATTCGAGAATGATCTGAATTTTCATCAACTACGAAAAATTAACTGATCAAAAGAAGCGGTAAGAATGTATTGCTGGCGGATTATTGTTTTTTGTGTATCTTGACAGTACTGAAATGATTTACCTTAATATTCATATTAAATCCGTTAAAATACCATTTTCGTTCAAGCATATGATTTCGTCATATGCCCGTTTTTAGGCCCAATTCCGATCACGTACTTGAAATAATGAATATTATCGATTCAGTTCCGGGAGGAGCAATTTTTTGTCAGAAATTTCCTGATTGTTGAAGATCTTTTTTTAAATTTCAAATATTTCAAATATTTTTAGTGTAACACCGTAACACAAAACCCAATACAAAACCATCGAAATGAGCTTAAATCTATACGCACCTGAAAAAATGACACAATTGCACCGAAAAAATAACGGTCCCGCTAAGATATATCACGGACAGCAATAAGAACACAAAATAATGGGGATAATTGAAAAAAAAATTGGTTACTTCATTTACATTATTAACTCTTTGACGCCTTCGATTGTTGATGAATAATTAGAAAAACCTAAAAGTGTATTTTAATTTTTTTTTCAACAGAGATCTTTTCTAAAGATTTTTGTGAATAGTTGTCAGAAGTGAAAAACTTCCAGGTTTTTAACTTAGAAATTATCTGGGTTTTTACCTTAACCTACAGCTTTAACTAATTGAAACGGTAAATATATTTTGCCGGCACTATTTTTCCCTTCAAAATTCATACTGATTTGGTAAAAATATCTTTTTTTGTTCAAGTTCATTCTTTGATCAAAGAAGAATAACGTTTTGGTTTGAACCTAAATTTCATTTTGAAATGGAAATTATTAAAATTTCAATCAATTACTGGTACAGTTCCGAAAGGTGGGATTTTTTTTAGAAATTTCTTGTTCTTCAAAGATATTTTTCTAATTTCAGTTATTTTGAATATTTTTTGAGATATTTCCAAAAATCATATCATCATTTATTCATTATTAACTTTTACCGGTCCTTTTCAAAACTATCACAAAATTTTTAGATGCTTTTATGAATCGAATGACATTTTCATTTTTGGTAGTTAATTTTCCAATACAATCATAATTATCATTCTTGGAGGGTAATTTTTTTATGAAATGTTACTTGTGAACCAGACTGTAACACAAAACTTAATACAACACCATCGAGATTAGCTCACATCTATACGCACCTGAAAAAACCGACACAATCTCGAATCGCACCGAAAATGAAAAAATACCGGTCCCGCTCAGATCTATCACTGACAAGCAGCTTGCAGCCTCATTTCCCGCTGAATGGAGAACGCAACTGAATTGTGGATTGTCGCGAACCTTAGTTTTTGCTCTTGCACCGTATCGCACCAGACTGCAAGTCTTCCGCCTGCGCGGCTAGTCCTGTGATTGCAGGACTCTCGGTCAGCATTTCCTGCTGTCTGCCGGCTTGCCGCGATCTAGATTTACTCTGGTTTCCAAGTGTTATTTTGTCAAAACATATTTTTCACGAGAATAGTAAAATCTAAGGTATTCGACGTGGGTGCTTTGTTCACTCACTCGAATTGAACGCTGTGTTGGTCGGTGGTTCAAACCCCAGGCTGAACGATCGATTTTCACTTGCTATCGTCCAAGTCGTGTTACAAATCACACTCACACTTCTGAGGGTTGTCGTTCGTAGGAGTGCGACAGCTGGTTAACGGAAAAAACAGATTTAGGACAGAAAATTAACTTGAAAAAATAACAACAAATTTTTTTTATCGAATGTATGCCCACTTTAAAAATCGAACGTTTTTGGTTCAATTTTTCATGGCAAATCCCGTGAAAACTGGATAGTTCTCCTGAGGACGCTAACTTGATTAGCGAAATGCGGATCGAGAGACCGTAATTTCTTGTCCTGGTGTTGGGAAAGTGTTTTCTTTCATATTAGTCAGTGGGCTATGATTGAAGACTGGCAGTAAACAAATCTAAAGCAAATGAACTCCAAACGTTCAAAGCCAGTCTCGATATACCTTCACAGTAGGTTCAATGGATGACGCCTATCAGAAAACCACTACTCCCCTGGCTAATACCACAAAGGGCGTTGGATCATATCCGACAGGCATCAGTGCAGGAATCTTCACAGAAAATGTCCTGCATATGCAATTGGCAATACAACTTGAAGAGTCGACCTCCAATTCTGGAACGGGCACACTTGCAGACCGGTTTAGGGCTTATCAGCCACTCATCAGTGGCCGATGAGCCACTGGAAATTTCTCATGAAATAGGCGAGCTACTTCCTGTTGTGTTCGGGTTTCATCTCCGTAACTATTTATTTGTAAAACTATTATTTTATGCATTTCCGTTAATCTGCCCATTTGTCAGACTTGAAGTAAACGAACTTTAAACTCAAAATACTGACAACTAATGTTGTAACATACAAAACAAGTTGACATGGCGTTTTAAAGTAACGTTGCCACGGAAATTATTTACAGTTTTTTAAACGATGTCATCTAAAAAAAAAAACGCTATGGTTTTTGCTTACGTTCTCATTATCAATACCTCAACATGAAATAAGTTTTGAGTATATTGCAATAAGTTTTGAGTGTATTTTATAATATTTCGGTAACCACATTATTTTAAATTATGTTATCTTAATTCTTGCAATACATTCGAAAGCGATAAAATTTTTGAATAGAGAATGAAGAGTGATTTCAAACGATATATCACAAGCCTATACTTCCATTTAAAAAATTGGGGGTTGTACCTGTCAATCGACGGCGTTTGAAGGTAGGGGGAGCATTTTTCCGTTAAAGTATGTCAAATTATAATTTAAATTTGACGTGTTTCGGGATTTTGTTAAAATATGTACCATAACTGAAATGATGATTTTATTCCGTTTGGCTTTTATACACTGTATAATGAATTTCATTATCTTCTCTGATATGCTGCAATAACGCTTGTTTGAAAGTGTCAATTCTTCTGTTGTTTCTCAAAGAATCAGGTAGTTTGTTAAATTCCACTAGTCCTCTGAAAAACAGACTATTCATTACTGACCTTGGGTTTGTCCTAGATACAAGGAAGCTTATATTGGTTCTAGTGCCGTATTGGTGGCACTAGAACGGCAGAAATGAGAGTTTCAGTTTCAGTTGATACGTCAAGAGGAGTACTTCGACCACGACACTGAAGATGACTACCGCAGTTACAGTTGAAACGGTTGGAGATTGTAACCAAAGAACATCACGGCAAAACCCGGAAACCAAACAAAACATATGTGGTATGTTTCACCATTTTTCTCTTCCAGGCAAAAATATGATACGCGTTTGACAAAATTCACCAAAGATATGGAAAGATATGGCCTGGAATCTAAGGGTTCTGCCTATGATGCTTATATGCTTTGTTGATGGCCATTCATATTTTTTTTCGAAGCATGAAAATATATTGGAAGTAACTTTCCTATTAAGCTCGCAGATGAGTTCGTAAGTTTTCTAGATGCATTCCAAATCGAGTGACACCTTAAATTTAATTTTCTTTTGGAGGACAGGTTTTTGATAAAATGGTACCTGTGAACTAGACTATATCTTCCGTTCGAGCTTCCGTACCGGTTTGCCACGATCTAGATTTGCCGTCCGAGAATATTGGGACAAAAATGCAATCGAAACGATCTGACAATTTTCTTATGTAAATGAAAGAACGTCGTCCCGGATTCTCTTTTTGCGGCAACGTGCAGTCTCTCGCAAATCACGTGTGCTCGTTACTCATACGATTAGCAAAGTTGCAAGTTGTCTGGGGAATTTTATAATTTCCGTTACCGGTAATGGCAGGATTATACTCAAGTTGTCTGTAGAATTGATGTGCATTATTCTGGTATATTTTTCATATAGAAAAAGGTTCGAACCGCAAGAAGGGAAAGTTGAAAATAATACCGGGAGGGAAGTTTCTGACTTGGTCTGGAAAAACAAAGCATTCGTGATACATTCTTTAACATATAAAAATATTCCAGTCACTTTATTATTACCATTCAGACATTAATTATAACCTGGGCTGAAAGGTCCCGGGCCTAAGAAAAAAAATGTTTTTTCTGGTCAAAATTGGCTCCATTCATCAACGTGATCTCCATCAAGAGCCACACAATCGTTCCAGAGCAGCTCTAACATTTCAATGCCACTTTTGTAGAACGATTTTATCGTTTGCTTCAAAATAGGCATTAGTTTCAGCAATAACCTATCTGTTCATTCGAGCGAAATTTCTTACCGGTGAGCATTTTCTTGAGGTCTGCGAACAGCTAGTAGTCGCTGGGAGCCAAATCTGGCGAATATGGTGTATGCGGAAGCAATTAGAAGCCCTTTTTATGCAATTGTGCCATCGTTTTCATCGATTCGTGATACTGTGTACTGCCTTGATGAAGCAGCACTTTCTTTTTCTTCAAATGGGATGGATTTTCCGCAATTTCGGCCTTCAAACGCTCCAATAACGCTATATAATATTCACTGTTGATGGTATTTCGATGGTCGATGGTATAGTCGATGAAAAGTACACCACGCACATCCCAAAATACCGAGACCATAACCTTTACAGCCGATTGTTGTACTTTCATGTGCTTTTGACGAGGTTCACTAGTTGCTCTCCACTCAGATGACGATCCTTTTGATTACGGAGTGAAGTGATGGATCCATTGTCGCATATCGACGGAAAAATTCCGGTTAGTTATGTTCAAACATAGCCAAACATTGCTCAGACATCAAGACATTCTTATTTTTGGTCAACAGTAAGCTCGCGCGTCACCCACTTTGAACAGAGCTTTCTCATAGTCAAATATATATTAATGCAATATAAAGCCAACACGTTCTTTTGATATCTTTACAATGTCAGCTAACTCACGTAACTTTACTTTTCGATTATGTAAAACGATTCTTGTATATTTTAACGCTATATTCCAAATACAAAATTCCAATAGCCATATCATTTGTTATGCTGCTGACACAGCGCCGATATTCAGAGATGACAGTTGACACAATATCTTCAATCGAGCTGAGGAAGACCTACAGAAATTAACCTACTGAGTATTAATATAAAAAGACAAATTTTATGTGCTTTTCATTAAACTCTTACTACCAACTCCCTATCAACAAACTCAGAATACACATGTCCACCTGCACATGTCCACCTGCAGCTAATGCAAAAGAAACACTCAAGATTAGTAAAACACTGCACACAGTAAAGATATTAGGGGATCAAACGGTAAAACAAAAGGAATATGATAAAGTAGTGAAAAAAAGATTTCAAGAAATTATTGAAACAGGAGACAACTCGAAAATTATCAAGTACATTAACTCTTTCCCTACAATAGTAGAACGACATAATGGAAGTGATGAAAAAAACCTGTGTGGGAAGTTTAGTAGCTCATGAGACTGATATTATTCTAAATATTGTAAGTTATAATCCAGCACTGATAGTTTTAAGTGAAGCGGGAACAACTTCAGATGTTAGCAATGCTGAAATACATATAGATAACTATAATGTAATTCGATGTGACAATAGCAGCAGACATGCTGGAGGGGTTGTCATATATATATATAAGGAATAACATAGAATACAAGGTAAAAAAATCTTTGGTCAGTGAACCTAACTACTGGATTCAGTTTGTTGAAATTTAAATCAATGGAAAGAAATGGTTAATAAGAGGTATTTATCATTCGCCTAATGAAAGCCATTCTGGGTTTCTGGACAGTCTGTAAAATATTCTTGAAAATTATTTCTATAATAAAAAGTGTACTCTGATTGGAGATTTCAATATTGATTTAAAAAAAGACAGTTTTTATAGTTAAAAAGTCATTAATATATTCAACTCATTTGGAATTGATCAACTTGTTACTGATAACACGCGAGTGACAAATAACAGCAAAACTCTTATTGATTATGTGATCTCTAATGAATCAAATATACGAAATGCTGTACATGATGTACCAAAAATATCTGATCATTCTATAATATCAGTTAACATTTTTGACTGTAGGAAAGAAATCTCAAACAAATTAATTCGTGTAAGAAATTTAAATGATAGTATATATAAAGGAATCAATTTAGAACTTCTCTCTGTTAATTGGAACTTGAATACAACCAATGTGAATGAAATATTGGATGAAATAGAAACAAAAGTTACTGTAATTGTGAACAAAATAACACCTGAAAAGCAAATACAAATTAAGTCAAATCAATTACCATTCTATGAAAGTGAACTAAAAACATTATCAAGATAAAAAGATATAGCTTATAAAAATAAAACAAAAATGACAACAATATAAATACTCACGAAACACCTCTATGTTAATACTCTAAAGGAAAAAAATATATATTTTGAAAATAAAATTGATGAAAATAAAAAAGATCCAAAACTTATGTGGAAA